TATCGTGTCAAGTGAGCAATAGTGTGGGCACTAATAAGGCCACACATACGCTGAATGTATCTTTTGGACCAATACTGAAACCCCACAACGAAACGGTGTATGGCGTGGATGTGAACCGGGATGTGAGGATTAAGTGTGAGGTCGAGGGCAACCCAAAGCCAGACATAGCGTGGCTGATGTTGGGTCAGACCAATGTGTTGGGCACTGACGGGGAACTACTCGTCAAAGATGTGACAGAAAAGAAGATCGGAAAATACATTTGTAGGGCATCTGTGAAGGGATTCCCAGAGATATCCTCACAACTTATCGTACGCTTAAATGGTATGTTTAGTGTAATTAATTTTAAACCATTTAAATCACTTCCAATTGTGTTGTAATCATATTATTAATTCTGTGTAAAGATATTTATAAATCTAATATAAATTATAAAACTGTTTACATATTATATTGAGGTCCACCGCAAATAGAGGACCCGTACATACATTATGGTCTAATCGGCGAGACTGTCAGAATCGGATGTTATATAAATTCTGTGCCAAAACCAAGTCAAATAGTCTGGCACCACAATCGCCAGGTGCTACTCATTTGTTTATTATAAGAATTATAAGAATTTAAAGAATTTAATTTTAATATTCAAACCATTAGATAGTAAATATCGACAGTAATCGAGGCGTTAATATAATCGATGAGCGAATACCTGGAGAATCGACAATACTGTCCACAGTTGTCATATATAACGCTAAACTAGTAATTCATATATTTTAATTAGTGTTTAAAACAAATAATTAATTTGTTAACTATTATAATCAGTCAGATTTTGGTGAATATAACTGTACGGTTAGAAATAGGTTTGGTTTCGATAACAGAGTCATCATTTTGGCCGAAAAAAGTTTGTTTCAATGCTTTCTAAACATTATTTTCAAATTCTGTTTGAAATTAGTTTTAATTAATTTGTTTGACTTGAATGGACAGTCGGTTTCACAACATTAGTGACATTCGCATCGCTGTTGTTATCAATATTAGTGGTAATCGTATTGATCACTATTGTCGTCATCCTATGCTTAAGACACAGACACATGAAAAAGGCAGTAAAGCTTAAGAAGAAGGGTTCGTTGTATTCGTCGAGCGATCGGACATCAAGTGATACAAGCGATGAGACGTTAGTGGAGTCCGATGTGTCGACTGCCGGCACCACTGATGACACCGACGCCGGCATTCACGTCGAGATGCAGTCCATTACGAGTAGCGAAATGTCGGCGCCGGCACCTCATCACAGCCGCCGTAGTCATCGTAGTCATCGAAGTCGAAACACTGGCACTGATATTGTCTTAGACTATGAATTAGAGCACAGTTTTAGACAATATTTAT